TTCAGTCCTGTGTATTACTTCACCTTTAAACAGTGACCTAGCTTGTTCTTTATACTGTTCACGGATTCTCCGCTGCAATGAGCATTTGGGAAATATACATAAGAAAAAGGAGGGATCGAAGCATGCCGAGCCGTATCCGAGTGCGAGTTCGATCATGAACGCTCGTTATTTTTTAGAAGTGGGGCACACAAGTGGCCATGGGTTTTTGCGCTGTCGATTGTTTGCAAATATCCTGTCCTCCGATTGGCGCGGCTCTAGCAGCGTTTGTTTATTGTAAAGCGACCGCATTGGTGCGGCTCTAGCATCGACTGATTTCAAAGTTATCGCATTGGTGCGGCTCTGGCAGTGATTTTTAGTATAAAAATCGGCACCTCGAGCCAATCGACGACACTTCTTACTTTGGCTCCACGGTGTGGAGATCGGTACAAAATAGCAATAGTTGCGGTCTAAGGGTGATCCCTTGCAGTTCTTATATTGTGAGTCGGACTGATGATCCAGTTGCCGACAGGTAAGGGTGACTCCTAGTGGAGTACCCGAAATAGTGAGTCGTCGNCCTAGTGGAGTACCCGAAATAGTGAGTCGTCGGAGTGGTCCGCGAATAGACGGGAAAGTACAAGGGTACTGTTTCCAGCTCACGGTGCGGCGATCTCGGCGACGGCCCTGGCCAACCGTGCAGCATCCGGCCTCGTTGTAATACGGGCCTACTTCCAGGAGGGGATTGAGGTACTCCTGAAGTTGAGGGACCACTGCGCATTGGCGTAAATAATTTGAGTTGAGAGAGCTCTCTAGGCCTAGTTTAGAACATGTATATTTATTGTAAATTGATGTGACGGTCAATTAACCGACCCTTAAATCGAATAAAGTCAATCTAGCTTGCTTCGGCTTTTCCCCCTATTTCGAGGGGGTTTTTATGACTAAGCAAGTTTCAATTTCTTTTCGGGAAAACCTGGTGTCTGATTCCTTTGATTCCGATCTTTCATTCCTTCGAATTCCCCTTTCTAATCTTAAATAGCTTATCAAGTGTTGAAGTGGTCAACATTTTCTGGTGCTCCGGGTAAGGAATGAATAATCGAAATTAAGTTGAATCGTGTAAATTGATAATTTATTAATTGCCGTAAATTGAGACAGGCGTAAGCCCTTGATGATCTTTTGTCTTTCACGATGTAGACGGTACGGCGTGCAAGCCGAGACGCGTTCAAAGAAAGAAGGGGAAGGCTAGTTGGCTTTGGATATCGAGCAGGACGTATCTGTACGACTTTCAAAATGGCTTTGCCATCGTTGCGAGTGCTCACCGCCTTGCAGAATTCGCGTTTGGCGGAAATAGAATTAACAGCTAGTCGTTTAAGAGAAAAACCGCGTGATACCGTGAATTTAAATATTGTGGCTTCGCGAATTGATGCTCTTCTGGAGATCTGGAGTAAAGCGCGTGCCACGCATGAAGAGATTATAGTCCGGGAAGATTCGGAAAACGATCCGTACGTCACCGGGACGGTATTTGCGCGTTTACAAGCGGTGTACGAAGACACTCTCGACTATCTGTTTACAACAAAGACAGAGCTGGACAATGCCTTATCCAATTTGAGAATGACGGTGAGTATTGGGACGTGTGGCTCGTGTTCCTGGTAGTATCCAAGTTAGATCCAGAGTCGCGGAAAGCGTGGGAGTCCGAATTAAGTAAAAAGGACCGTCAAGTACTCTCGGACGGCGAGGCTGACGTGTTCAATATAGATGCTCTTGCTCGGTTCCCAAAATTCTCTGACTTAACCGAATTTTTTGAAAATCGTGCTCAGATATTTGGTATGGTCGCGGCTGAGCGGAATAGTGAGGGCGGAAACAGTCCTGCAGCATGGGTGAAGCAGATACCAGGGGCGCGGAAAATATTTCACACTGCTGTAATGAATCAGGGGAACGGAAACATTAAATGTTTGTTATGTTCTAGGCCTCACCGACTTCATAAGTGTTACCGATTCAAAGCTAAGGGTCCTAGTGAATGTCGCGCGGAGATACGTCGGTTGCGACTTTGCTTCAGTTGTTTCGGGTCGTCATATAAATGCGCAGTTTGTAAAGAGAAGCACATTCTCTAATTCACCAGGTAGCTACGAGTTCCGAGAAGCTCCAAATTTCCGAAAACAAATCGATCGCTAGTATGCGCTACTACGCGCCTCGTGGTGTAGTCGTTGATTGACCCGGCGGTCAAGTTTGAGACGGATGCCCTCATCTTGAAGAAGGTGACGTCACAGCTTCCAGCACGCCAGCTGTTAAAAATTGATCTGGACGTGTTCCACGGCCTACCTTTAGCGGATCCACAATTTTACGTCCTTGCGTTCCACACGCATGACATTTGACAGTTTTGCTAAATGTGCAACTTGTGACGAAATGTTCTTTTCCACATCTGTAGCACTTAACTGGTTTGTACATATGAATACTCTTTGCTTGTTTATCGGTTGTAAATCTGCCTGACTGAGCGTATTGGCTCTTTCTTGTATCCATTGATTTTGTATTTTTCTTCTTATGATTTGTTTTATCAGCATGTAAATACTCCACAGAACTTGTACTATGTCGCAATTGTTTTACCTCCTTCTCCGTTAGTTCTATGGCTGATGCAATTTGTACAGCTTTTTCAAGCGTTAAATCTTTTGTTTCCAGGAGTCGTTGACGTATCTTTTCATTATGGAAACCTTGTACTAATTGATTGCGAATTGCCATATAGAAAAGTACCGAAATTGCAGTACTTACTTAATCTTTTTAATTCAGTAACGTACTCTTGCATTCCTTCTCCTGTTTGTTGCATTCGTTTGCCGAACTTGTAACATTCCGCGATTTATAATTTTTCTGGTGCATAAAGTTCATGTAATTTATCCGTTAACTCTTGGTACGAAACTTTCGATAGGTTTGCAACATTCATATGCGTGTGTAAGGTATATGCTTTCCCACCTATGTGTAGCAGCAGATAACACACTCTATCAGAGTGTTCAGAACGGTAAAAGTCAATTCCGTTCTCTGCAGCCACTGTTCCCAAGTCGTAGTATCTGGATCGAATGTTTCGAATTTAATCTGGTTAAGCATTGTAGGGTGTGCCATTTTTGTTCTTTATCGTATGTCCCTCGTACTCGTGTTGTAACACACCACGTGGTCTTTTAGGTTAACCAAGTACCGATTCTACTTTTGTAACTATTTCCACTCGAGAAATCCCATCTTCGTCGCCATTTATGTTGTAAATCTAGGGATAGGGTAGACGTATGTATATCAAATGCTGTATCTAGTTGCATTCACATAACTATTATATTTAAAGTAAGTTCGTATACAGATTTCCCGAGCTAACTTCCACTCCAACACTCCGGCACACCCATCCATACACCAAGGCCCCTCTCTCTACAACGCAACATCACTCGTGCCCTCTCACTAACAATCCGCATACATGTCACCTATCTTAACAATTAATAACTAATTAACGAAGCTCGAACCATAATTTCGACTACTAGTAGATTCACACCCGTATAAACATCCCATATATAATATATAACTATAAATTATATATTTATTTCTCATAAGCTAATTATAACAATTTTACACATCATTTTATCGAAGTTTGCATTGTATTAATCCTGAAAGCGTCGCAGATGCACGGGAAAATTTGTCATATCTTATCGCTGAATAATCGTGATAGAATAATTTAGACATTGTACAGAGATTTAATCAGCTCTCACGATCAAAGAGTAAATGTCATCTAACCAGTTCTCACGGTCAGATCACTGTAAAATGTCTCGATTATCCTATCACTATGACTCAGTGATAAGAAATGAGTTTTTCCACGCATCCGCAACTATTTCAGGAGCAGTGCAGGCACTAATGATCGTAGAAGCTATACAGACGGCACAGCTACACATCCATTAGGGGAAAGCGAGAGAAAGAGGAAGGAAAAGGAAGGCACGGGATATAGAGTGCCATAAAACAGTCAGGTGGAGGGACCACTGATCTGGTACGGGGGCAGAGGCCACGCAGAAATTTTTATAAATGTGAGTGTGATAGTAATAAAGAAAAATAGAAATAGAAGAAGGAAGAGTAGAATAAGAAGAGAAACAGTATAATAAGTGTTAAATAAATTGTGCCTCTATTGTATTATAGATAGGTAAGATAGGATTGAGAACTAGGAAATAAGGAAGAAACGCAGAGGAAGTCAACCAAGTACGTAGAACATGATTGAATCGTAAAAAAAATAAGTAGATGGAAAATTAAACGAGAACCATCTCTGATTTACATTATATAGAAAGAGATCCGCGACAAGAAATAAGGAACACCCTCGAAAAGGAGGATAGGAATAGAAAAGAATCGAGAAGGAACAATCGGGATCAAGATCATGGAATGCACGGAAACTAATAGACGGGCAACAAAAACGATCGTGGCCCTGTTACCACAGAATTATCCGATGGACCAACTGAAACCGCAGGACATCCCGTCCTATCAGAAAGCCCTACGACAAGTGATCAAGAAGACGGATGAGCAGCGAATAGATACACCCCCTGAATTCTTAAATCATCAGATAAAGAACGGTGGCATGATCGTTACATGTGCCGGCGATTACGACTCGTGGTGGCTCGGTAGACATATCGACGAAGTGAAGTTCAAATATAAACTCAAGGTAGACAGTCCGATCGCTTTGGAAGATAAATTTCTAGTAGACGGTGAAGTTACCAATTTAGAAAATACCGGAGATAATATTTTGCATAAAATCAGGAATTTCAACCCGGACATCAAGTTAACAGGTTGGAAAATTATTAATGAAGAAATGAACTATGAAAAAATGACGAGAATTATTACATTCGAAATGCCTAATCGATCGATTAAATGCTTGAGACGACTAAAAAACAGACTTCGCCTAGACGAATATGGGGTTGATGGAATTAACTTTGGTACAATTCGTCCGGTAATGAAAACCCAATCGCCATACGAAAGGTTAGAACCATCGGGAAGCTCCCAGCAGGAAACAATATTTTCGAACACGCCGGACGATAACGCGAAACCTAGTACGAGTGCTAAAAGAGATATCATAGATTCTGCACAAGCTATTAAGCGGAGAAAAATTAATGAATTCATCGAGGAAGGATTCGTGGACAAATCAGACCAAGAGAAAAGGGAAATCCTTAAAACAGTGCTCTATGATTTTATTAATGAAGGACTGGAAAAAGAAGATAGTAAAATGAGAAAAAAAAATAGATAAGATAGAACGAAACGGAAGTTGTGTGCCACCTCCATCGCAGTGATTTAATATTATTAAGTTCAAAAGTTTATTGTTGAATAATTTATCGATATTAATTGAGTCCATACATATAACGATAATTACACATTTGTTTTCATATTCGCGTATATAACATATACAGATATATCTGTTACTCTTGGATATTGTATTCATTTATAGCTAATAAATTATCATATTTACTTTCGTAATGGGTGTCTGTCAGTGGCAAGCCTTCTGCACTGAATAGGTTACCAGGAAATTTTATACAAAAACTCAACTTCATAACACCACTGTCACTCCTCACATAAAAATTTTCAAACACTTACACTGTCGTTCTTGCACTCTAACATTAAACGTCTCCAAAAGGAGCCGATTGTTTTTCATTCACAAAATAAACTTCACTATCCGTGAACTACACGATGCGCGAAGAGCGCGACTCGTTCGGCATGACGCTCTTTTTATCAGAATCGGCGGATACCCATCTTCGCGTTAGACGAATACTCGGATCATTTCGTAATACTCTGTTCGATTTTTCGGGATCCGTCATTGAGTTGAGGTGCACGACTCAATACCAACTGAACCGTCTCTCAGAACTTTCCTTCGGGAGACTTTTTCCCACTCGATGGCCAAATTCGTAGGTGAAAATATTTTTAACATCCCTGAAAGAAACTCGACCTTCGATTCCTTGTCATATTTGCAACATTCCCCACGTGTTAAACACTCGATACCTCCGCGACTTGCAGCCCGCAAAGCCGTAGACACATT